CAGACTTGCAAACAGGAATCCTGAACCTAGAGGAATCCAACAGACAGTCTCCTTACTAGGTGAACCATCAAGAGTTATAGGAAGAGATGGTGATGTCCAAAAAATAGTTGAATTGTTGATTCATGACTCGAGTAACCAGCAGCCTCTCTGTGTGGTTTCTATAGTGGGTATTGCAGGCCTTGGGAAAACTACTTTGGCAAAACTAGTGAGGAACAATTACCAAATACAGAGACATTTCTGGAAAATTATGTGGATCTGTGTTTCTGAAAATTTTGATGTGAAAAGGATTTTAGTACAGATGCTGGAGTCTCTTACCCAAGCTGGTTGTGAAAATATTACAAGCCAAGATGTTGTGGTTCAAAAAATAAAAGAAAACTTGCAGGAGAAAAAGTATCTCCTCGTTCTAGATGATGTGTGGAATGAAGATAGGCTAAAATGGGAAGACTTAAGGCAGTGCTTGCTGGGGATAAGTGAAACAATTGGGAGTAAGGTCCTTGTCACAACTCGAACTCAAAATGTAGCATCAATCATGGGAACAGCTCCCGCACATGTGCATCGTCTTGAGCAGCTAAAAGATAATGATTGTTGGTCTATAATCAAAAATAGACTATTTGGCAACTCAGAATTGGAGGAATTGGAGAATATTGGAATGGAAATTGCTAAAAAATGTAAAGGAGTGCCATTAATTGCAAGTGTTATTGGGGGGACTTTGTGCAATAACCGGAAGAAAGATGATTGGTTATCAATTAAAGATAATATTGAAGTATGGGGTGCATTGGAAGAGGCTAATGGAGTTCAAAGTGTGTTACAATTGAGCTTTGAACGCCTACCAGAACTAGCTTTGAAGCAATGCTTTGCTTTCTGTTCTATTTTCCCCAAAAATTTTATCATAGAAAGGGAGGTTTTAATTCAACTTTGGATGGCCGAAGGATTTCTTCAACCATTTAATGAAAGATACACTGAGATAGAGGATATTGGTGACAAGTATTTCAATGACTTGTTATCATATTCCTTATTTGAAGATGAAAAAAGGGATTCTTATGGGAGTGTTACTGCTTGCAAAATGCATGATTTAATACATGATCTTGCATACTCTGTTTCAAAGTCTCAAACGTTGGTTTTGGGGAATGGTAATAGGAGTAATATTCACGCAGGCATTCGTCATTTGAATCTCATTGCTGTTCCGAGTATGGCAGACACAGGAGTCGTAGGTGATATTAAAAAATTGTACACTTTGTTTTCGCAAGTTGACAACTTTCAGAATATGCCTGCAAACTTCAGAAAGTTGCGAGTTCTTAGTTTCCGTGGTGCAAATATTGACAAGTTGCCAGCTTTCTTGGGAAAACTGAAGCATTTAAGATACTTGGATGTTTCAGGAACTAGAATAAAAGAACTCCCCAAATTTATAACCAGGCTCTATCATTTGCAGACGTTGAGATTTATGAACTGTAGATGTCTCACAAGACCTTTGGAAGGATTAGGGCATTTAGTCAATTTGAGACATATTTATTTCAATGTTAAAAAGAATATGCCAATAGGGATTGGCAAACTAACTTGTCTGCGAACGCTGAAATTATTTTTTGTGGGCCAACAGAAGGGATGTGGAATTGAAGAATTGGAATGCTTAAGCAAACTTAGGGGAAAACTGAAAATATGTAATTTGAAGAATGTTAGGAACCAAGCAGAAGCCAGAAGAGCAAAACTTTTTGAAAAGGCTGCAATTCAGGAGTTGGAAATGAAGTTCAGGCGGGGAGACTCACAATGCAGTTCTGAAAAAAGAAGCAAACATGATGAAGATGTCTTGGAAGGCCTCCAACCTCACTCAAACCTGAGGTTCCTAACTTTTAGTGGTTATTATGGTGAAAAGTGTCCCTCATGGATATTGAAAAGCACTGGTAATTTGGGCGAATCAACTTGCCTCAGAAATCTGGTGTTGATGACCTTTGATGTTTGTCCCCAGTTGAAAAGCATTCCATCACTTTCACTCAGCAATAATACAAGTGTCGAAATTAAACTTTGCAATAATTTGAAAACTATTGCAGATTCATCTCTTCAGAAACTCACCATTTATGGTTGTGATGAGCTGCTTTGTGTAGAGGTCGGGACACTTGCCATGACATCTCTTAAAGAGCTACATATACAGAGATGTGGTAAGTTGGAAAGTCTTTCCGAGATTAGCAGATTATTATCCCTTCAAATACTTCACCTTAAGTATTGTGCGAAATTGAGAATTATAGGGGGAAGTGGTTCATTTGCCCTGAGGTGTCTGGAAGAGTTCACTCTTATTGACTGTCATCGATTGATGTCTGTACCAAGCTTAGATGGGCTTTTATCTCTTCAAAAAATTTATATTTCCCGTTGTATGCAATTAAAAAGCATAGGGGAAAGTTTATGTAACTCCAGGTGTCTCAAATACTTGTCTCTATGTGGCTGTGACGGTTTGGAGTTTTTTCCAAGGCTAGATGGGCTTTCTTCTCTTCAGTGTTTAAGTATAGAGGATTGTGGCGGGTTAACCAGTTTGCCAGTTAGCCTCTTTTCTTGCACTGCTCTTGAGAAATTGACCATAACCCAGTGCAATAATTTGATTACTATTTCTAGTATAGATGGGCTTTCATTTCTTCGAGAAATCTATATTTCCAATTGTTGGCAACTGAAAAGTATTGGGGAGAGTTTATCTTCTTGCCCGTGTCTCAAAAAGTTGACCATAGAGGACTGTCCTAGTCTGATGTCCATTCCAAGTCTGTTTGCACTTTTCTCTCTGGAGACTTTATCTATAAAACGTTGCATTGGATTGACAAGTTTGCCAAGTGGGTTGTTCACTTGCACCTCTCTTGAAAAGTTGACCATAACGGAGTGTCATAGTCTGATCTCTATTCCAGAGGATTTGAAGGAACTGCATTCTCTTGTTGAACTGGAAATTTCAAGATGTGGAGGATTGCTAGAAATCCCAGAGGAGTGTCTTGGCTGCCTTACCAGCTTGAAGCAACTGTGTATTGGTGGTTTCTCAAAAGAGCTAGAGGAGTTTCCAAATCTCGGCTTCATTCAACATGTCCACACCTCCCTTCGTCAATTGACTTTGGTCGGATGGGAAACATTAAAGCGTCTGCCAAGTCAAATTCAATGCCTAATTGCTCTTCACCGATTGTTTATAGAAGATTTTGATGGATTGGAAGCTTTGCCAAATTGGTTTGGAAACTTATCCTCTCTTCAAAATCTGTCGATTAACGACTGCAATTCTCTGAAACATATGGAAGCTATCCGATGCCTCTGCAAATTACATTCCCTTCGAATTTCCAAATGCCCTAAGTTAAAGGACAGATGCGCCAGGGGAAGTGGCTCCGAGTGGGACTACATCTCTCACATTCCAAATATCAACATAGACAGGCTATGGATCCAACTCAAAGGAGCTCCCGTTCATCCAACTCAAAGGAGCTCCCGTTCAGGTATCTTCTGCCTTTAACTATATACAATATATCATTTCTTTTTAATTCCCTCTTTTTCTTATTGATTTCATTTATGCATTTGGCTTTTATCATTCTTTTAGATACTACTCCTAAATCCCTTTTTTCCAATTCATGTATGGTATGTTGCAACTAAAACCAAATTTATCTGCTACCATTTTACCTACAATTCAAAAGCAAATGTTAATAATTTCATTTTTTAAAGCAAGTTTCTTTATTTTTGTCAATTCATCTTTTTGTAAAATGTTATATTAATAAGAGCAGTGCTAGGGGCACTCGCCTCCAGCACTCTCCGGCCAACACTCCTCCATTCATTGGGCCACGTTATTTTAGTTCACGAGAGGTTGCACTCCAGAGCTTAAACAACCTTACGTGGCCCAGTGAAAGAGGGAGTGTTTGTCGGAGAGTGCAGGAGGCGAGTGCCCCTAGCACTGCTCTATTAATAATTTCTCCATTCAGAGGCTGTACTACCATTCCAAATTCAAATTTCCTGATTTGCTACACCTACACTTGACAAGTCTGGATTTTGAATATTTGTCTTTATCCAACAGCACTAGGATGATGATAATCGGCCATTACCACCAACACAACCATGGTTTTTAAAACCGGACCGGTGATTGAACCAGTTTACTCACCGGTTCTTAATTTGGCCGATCTGACCAATTCAACCGGCCGACCGACCGGGTCAATCAAATGCCAGAATTTCATGTAAATCAATTTAACAAATTTTCATGAAATAAATAATTAATTATGATTAATACTAATAGCCACTGTTTCGCACTTTATAAGTTACATTCACAGATTCACTAAAGCTGAAAAAAAAAAAAACTGATTTCTATTTCAGACTTTTCACTGGAAAAACAGATTTCGTCCAACTCACCGGCAGCACCCTCGGATGGACGCGACGGTGAAGACCTCTGGTGGTGGGTCAAGGCTGGTGGGTGAACGCCGATCTGCTCCCTGCTGACTACCGATCTGCTGGAGAGACAATGAACGCCGATTTGCTGCCCGATCTACTGCCTTGTGGTTTCTTCTTCGTCGGAAAAAGGACGGAGACTGAAGAATGGAGACTGGAGAGTGGAGAAGCCGAGAAGGAGAACGATGGATGATGAAGATCTACTGCCCGATCTACCGATGACGATGGATGATGTGGGTTTTTTGATTTTGTTTGGTTGTGGTAACTGGTAAGAGTTGAGATTGGGAGTTGGAAGAGTTGAGATTCTGAGAATGGAATGAAATTAGAAAGTAGAAAGTAGAAACCCCGACTGTGGGAAAAAAAAAAAAAAAAAAAACTTGCAGAATGTGCGTCGGTGGTGCCGTCCAGCCTGGAGCATTTCGCCCGGCGGGTTTGCCGGGCCGTCCGGGCGGGACGGGTGGAACGAGTTCTCCGGGTTTGGACAGGCCAACCATCCAAACGGGCCTGGGTATCAACCAAGCCCGTTTCATGCTCCGGGCGGCGGTCGGACCGGTCGGACCGACCGGTCCGATCCGGGTTTCAAAACACTGAACACAACCACGACAATGAGATGCCTCTTTTGTTGCAAAAACTAACAAACAGAGAGCCAAACAAGTTTCAAAAATTGAAGGCAGGCTTCATGGCTTGGTACCCCAACCTAGACCACAGACTTCAATGCTTATTTTGAAGTTAGACTTGTGAATGCATTCAGGTCTGTTAAATGTCAATTATCTCATCATGTTTAACATTTACTT